TATTAGTGATGATGTATAGTGAAAGATCGGATGATGTTTTTTTCCATCAAAAATGGCCAGTTAATCTCTTCCAGATATTCTAAACTAATCATCCGATCTCTATGATACACTATAAATAAATATATATTTGTTGTAGCTCTTGCCATGAATATTGAAGAAGTAGACGTCATATCTGGTGATGAAGAATACTAGTTGGGAATAAAAGATGATAATAAAAAAAAAGAAATATTTTAGAAACTTCCGGTTTTAAAAGAAGTTGAACTCAAATGTATGGAGGTGTTTGATTTTCTAACTGTCTATGACCCTAAAATATCTACACGTCGCCACTACAGTTATAATAGCCCAAAATTATTCACGTGAAAACTGAAAATATTTACTCAACTATTCGTCTAATAGAACTGCAATAGTCCAGAGAGAGTTTACACTGGTTAAAGATTGGTTTAGTAGAAATTATTATTATATCGTAAGTAGATGAAAGATTTCAACATTTAATAAAAATATTACAGTAACTAAGCTCTGCTTTAATACTGGAATTTATTTGTATTGTGTTGACATTATACATGAATTTAAAATTATAATAGAATAGGAAATCACTCATGTCTTGTCACGGGTAATAATAGAATGGGAAAGTTTCTGCAACTACTTATAACAACTAATATACTTACCTTGTAGATAGAAAACAAGTTCAACTGACTACTTCACTAAAAGATTAATTAACACCTGTTTACGAAAAATTATAAAATGCATTGAGAACATAAATTTTACCAATAAAGTTAAATCGAAAATACAATTCGGCTGTACTACAACTTCGTACAGTATAGACGTGCGCCGGGTCGATCTTCAACCATACACCGCTACAAACCAGATGCGATGTTTTTGAAACGTTTAATAAATTAGTGTGGAAGCGTAAATTCGTAACCTGCCCTGGTATGAGTCATAGCCGATAAGGAAATTAGCAAACTCTACCTATCTCTGAATATTTTAAGGGTTTTCATGATATTCTATTGTAGCATCGCAGCGGACCTCTCCGAAGCTGGGGAGCTTTTATCGAAAATGCTACCTGGTCTCTTTGATATATGATAAAATGATTCACTTCATACTGTACCTCTTTTATAGGAATACAAAAAAGTCTGCGATTGAATATTCCTACATTACAAGTTACAAGTATATCTTAACATTCTCATTTCATATGATGGAATTGACTGCTTGATGATAATCCATAACGTATACAAGTAACACTTTACTTTCAAGTTTTCACTTAAACAGTTCACAAAACCGTAACACGTGTTTCTCTAAACAATTACTTCCTCAGGGGTGTTCATACCTACTAAATTCTACCTAATTAGTGCTTTACATAAATCAACATTTGAATCATATGACTTTCAACCTACTCAATGATAATTTTACCTGAAAACAGGTATTTTTTAAAGGACAAAACACAAGCACTACCGTAAAATCCTTAAGGCGCTCTCAGAGCGGTGCCTGTGTGAAAGGAGCGATTCGCATTGGATTTGATTCGCTGAAAATTGAATCCATTTGGAAAAACGTTCTCAAGAAGTTTATTCCACATGAATGCAGTTCTCCAAATGAAAGAGTTCTTAAACAGTAAAGTTCGAGGTGTACTAAGTTGAACCCACAAAACGATGAGCAGCCACAGTCCGTCGCGTATTTGTGATATGTACCGCTCTTGGTGGAATCAAATGTGCCAAGTCACTCGAACACTTCCCGTGAAAGTATCTATAGAAGAGAGACAAATCTCCAATCTTTCTTCGATGTTCCATGCTATCACGGTTGCACGTGATATTCGCGTCTCCACTCAGGCGGATGACTCTTTTCTGGATGGAATCCAGCAACTTCAGGGTATGTTTGGGGGCAGAGCTCCAAACATGAGAACAAAACTCCAAAGAAGGTCTACTCAGAGCTTTATAAAGCATCAACAGTTGCTGAGGTGTGTAGTTTTCTGGTTTGGAACAGTGTTTCAAGGTATAAACAAATCACAAATTTAAACATTCGATAATTAATTTTACAAACTTATTTAAATGGCCGTGTTATGAATGAAAAAAATTACCCGAGTTCACCTATTAAGTAATTACCAATTTCCACATTAGAAAACAAATTTGATAAAAGGAAATCATTCAAATCTATTTGGTCATTCAGTTCCAAATCTATTGACTTTCAAGCATTCCTGAAGATTGAGTTTCAAACCTTCATCTTTTAAATGTAACACATCATAGTCCTGATTGAAATCATGTTCCTCTGCCGAACAAAGGTTTACATTTGTGGAATTGGTCTTCACAATCAAGAAACTTCTCATATGTTCTTTTGTTCTTCGGGAAAATATTTTCCTTGTTTCACCAATATAAACTTTTGGACAGGAATCGCAAGTCAACTTATACACTAATGATCTATCCGAGGCACTGAAGTTTTATCAAATCATTGTGTTCTATAAGTCGCGCTAAAGTTTTTCTTTTTTTTTTAACAAGCGATACTGTTGGTGAGTTCACCAAAGTATGTTAATGTCCTAAGATGCTTATTACTGTTTCTGAAGCGGTATAGACCTGGTGAATTACTTCTTTTCGTTGTTTTTATTTTGTAAACAATGGAGTCAATAATAATTTACCTTGTCGCCGTTATTGACAACATTTTGTTTGATGAAACTCAGTTCTGTCTGAAAATTACTTTATTTTGACAGAGAAATGTTCAAGTCTGTGAAGCATACTATTGAATGTTGTTATGTTTTGAAGGATTATGTATGAGCATGTCCGTATAAGGTAATTTGTGGAAAATGGCAAAATCATTATTTTTATTTATTTTAGTCATTTACAGCACAACTGAAATCAGTCGATTTCGAACATCTTGAATAACATTTTGGAAATGTTACTCCTGCAAAACGACGGAATGAAGTATTTTGAATGATGAATTATAGCTCATTGATGTATTCTACCGAACTTTCAAATTTTATGGAGGAATCACTCGAGAGCAGAATATTTAATTTTTTTTAAGTAAAAAATGGATATCTCGAGAACGGTTCATTTTTAATACGGGGTGTATTACAAAATCACATTTGAATTGTGACAAAAATGTGACAATATACGAGGTGTTACATTTGAATTGAGAAAGTTGATAAAACTTCTGGTATAACTGGACGTGGTGGAAATACTTATATATTTGCCAATTTTCAGGATATGAATCCTATTATTTCCCAATTACCGCTAGCCGACGGTCATCGTGCTATACGCTGTATAAAATACACACATCGGAAAAGTCTAGGGATATTTTTATAACATACTAAATATCATAAAAATAAATGCATGAGGTCGTTTAATTTCGATTAAATTGGTACACTCGACCGCCCTGTAGATTTCTATGGGTTGAACAAAGCCTGCAAAAACGGTTTATCGGCTAAAATGAATAATCTGAAAGTGTCGAGTTTGTACATTCTATGCAGTTCTTGCTCAGCAATTAAACTGGAAATATTGTGCTTTAACATGGAACGCCATCACTTACCATTGGCTGAGATGAATACAGCTGTAGGGCTTCTTCAAGGTGACATGCGACAAAATGATGTAGCTCTTCGTTTGGGGGTCTCCCAAAGTGTTATCAGTCGATTGTGGCGGCGTTTCCGTGAAACTGCCAGTCCAGCCGAACAACATCCAGGGCGAGGACACACTACAACTGCAGTTCAAGACCGATTTTTGGTCTTAACCGCAAGAAGACAACCGACAATCACAGCACCTGCGTTGGTTAACGTGTTGCAGCAGACGCACCAGGTAACCATTGGTCGTAATACTGTCAGAAATCGACTGCATAAAGCAGATCTCCACAACAGAAGGCCACTTAGATGTCCACCTTTGTCGAGAGGCAATCGCGGTAGAAGATTAGAGTGGTGTCAAGAACATCAAAACTGGGATGCAAATGATTGGGCCACAGTTTTGTTTACAGACGAATCCAGATTTGGATTTCATCCAGATTCTCGTCGAGTAAGACTGTGGAGACGACCTGGAAATAATGAACGTTTGAGACACGTCCAGGAAGTCCACACATACAGAGGTGGTACAGTAATGCTATGGGGCGGAATCATGATCGGCGGCAGAACCGATCTCGTTTTTCCAAATCGCTCCCTCATAGCTCGACAGTACCTCGACACCATTCTTCTACCTATCGTCCGTCCGTTTCTGTTCCACCTAATGCACGATAATGCTCGTCCACATGTCGCGCGTCTAGTGACTGACTGGCTCACCAACGAAGGTGTTGAAGTATTGCCATGGCCAGCACAATCACCGGACCTGAATCCCATCGAGCATGTGTGGGACATGCTTCAACGAAGAATTATTCCGCATATGGGGAACATTCACACATTTGCTGAATGGGCAAATGTACCTCAACAAGACATCGACAATCTCATTTTGTCGATGCATGATAGATGTAGGGCCGTAATAAACCAGCGTGGAGGCCATACTTTGTACTGATTCCAATTTTTTTTTGTATTATGATTTTTTTTCGGGGTGCCATATTTTTTTTTAGTTTTGCTTATATGCGCACTCAGTATTTTTGACCATGTAATAAATTTTGTTGTAAGTTACATTCGTTTAATAATCACCCGTCAACTTTTTTTTCCCTGAAGCGATCTAAAAAAAAATTATTGCCATTTTTAAAAATATCCCTAGACTTTTCCGATGTGTATGTATGTAATGAATGGAGTAATGATTAACGTTCTCAAGATATTTGAATTATCATGAAGAATGATGGCATACTTAGAAATCCGTTCAACAGCTGTCACCCCCCTACGAACAATCTTCAGAAGTCGAAACATATGCTAGCCAAGGAAGGGTCTCACATTTTAACGTGCGATTCCTCTTATATATAATTAAAATATTTAGGGAATGAACATTTATGCTAAATTCATTCATCTTTTTTTTGTCATACACGTTTCAATCCCACTACTTCCAACATTCTTTTTTAAATTCATCTTAATGATAGGTTCAAACTGAAACGCAAAATTGAAATATAAATTTATTAGTCTCAGAGACAAAGATTTCAAAGGAATGTTCAACTCGGATTATATCCGCGATAAATTCATCTAAAAAAAAAATTGATCGAAAACTTCAACTCTTTTGTATAGCGATATTTCTAGAGTAAATTAACAAAAATCACTTAAAGACTATATAAATAATTGATGATAAAGTATATACTTTTTTCAGGAATCTATGTAGTAGTTCTTATAAATCTACATGTGTCTTGTATTTCCGAAATTGATCCCGGATTGGTTGGCACCTTTGTTGCTTCCCATCTGAAGGCCAATGATGGTTTGTCCAGCCTTAAGTTTCTCTTCGGAGAACGTTCTTTCGTTCTTCTCCGCTTCCTTTGGTCCAATGTGGGGTTTGCCATATTTGTCAGCCTGAAAAAACAAAAAAAGACTCAATAATACGTTCAATTGAAATACTTCCCAAACTAGAAAAAAATATATTGTCCTTCAATGCGCATTTCGGTAACCAAGTTAGCATCATCAGGAGATGATCAAAAGTTACTAAGTCAGTTTTAGTTATCTCCTAAGTTCTGAGACGAATTGCGATTCAGTATCGTACACTTAGGATGTCACATATCCGCTCAAAAACATCTAGAGGTGTCATATCAGGCAATCTAGGGGACTTTTCTAAGGGACCAGTTTGCATAATGGACAAAATCAACTAAAAGTTTTCAACTAAAATTATGTTTAAGCAAAATGAGGTACTTTTTCATCAGAACGAACTGATATGAAAGTGGTAAGATAATAATATCCGAACTGGTGGATAGGTGAATGTGGTCTATTATAATGACCCGCTAGATTACTTGATATGAACTTCTTTGTCTTTTTGTGGGGATTCGTGAAATCTGAAGTATACATTCTACAACCGCAGTCTATTTCAGTGCTCATGATTAGAATAAAAGATGCTACTAACGAAATTATCCAACATTCCAATAATTTGTGAAAAAAATTCATTATTGTCACGAAGTTATTGATGGAAGTGAATATTCCAAATATTTATTGGAGTTACCTGGAGTGCGTTTTAAATATATTTTTTCTTGATATGATGATTTTTATCGTTTGTTTGTTCCTCATCGAAAAGTACTAAAAATGATGAATTTTTACGTAAATTTTTTCTGACCTTAAAATTTCGTCCCGTTCAGGAGTAAAGAGGGAGACAGACTAATTATTCTCAATAATTTCAAAATCATTCAATATTAATATCTTGGCATTGTCCTTGATAAAAAACTCACCTGGAACGCTCACTTGGAAAAAGTTTTACACGAAGCCAGACTGTCCCTATGGACATGTCGTAGGATTTGTGGTAAAACTCGGAGTTTAAGCCCCAAACAAATCCATTGGGTTTATGTGATAATTGCCAGACCAATGATCACTTATGGTACAATTGCCTGGTGGCCGAAGGCTTTACAGAAAACAGCCCAAGCGAAGCTCTCTGGCTTACAGAGACAGGCTTGTCTGGCCATCAGTAGTGTCAACAGTACCACACCGTCAGTGACCACGGATATCCTTCCAGGTGTACCTCCTCTCCACATTTTTCTGAAGAGAGAGGCTAGATGGACTGCATATAGACTTGCGCACATTGCCAATTGCACAAATCAATTTATTGCAGAGTGCAACAGACTGTTGGTTTATGCCTTCAACTGTCAACTACGCACTGCCTTATAAAGTAATGTTTCCGAGTAGAGAGGACTGGATCCTCCGGGTGAAGGAGCAGATAGTTGTTGGTTCACAGATGAATCAAAAACACCTACGGGTTCTGGTGCAGGTGTTTTCAGTCACAGACCCACGACAGAGATATCAACCTGCCTAGGAACCTATGCGACTGTATTTCAAGCGATAATTTACGCCATTGAATTGTGTGCGGAGAAATTGGAAGAATCCAACCTCATACACAAGTTAATAAAAATATTCTCGGACTGTCAAGCGGCGTTGGAAGCTCTTGGTTCCTATCGAGCAACGTCTAAATTGGTAGCAAATTGCCAAAAACGAATCTCTTCGATAGGAAGACTTAACAGATTGTCTCTGATCTGGATTCCTGGCTATACTGGCCTGGAATGTAATGAGGCTGCTGACTCCCTTGCAAAGGTTGGTGCTGCAAGCAACTTTATCAGACCAGAACCTGTCATTGGCATCGCTTTAGGCTTTGCTAAACTAATATGGAACACCTGGATGGCAAGAAGATTTATGGACTTCTGGCATAATCTTTCAGGATTGGCTCACTCAGGCGTTTATTCACCCTTCGAAGCTTGATACCAAACAGTTGTGGGGGACTACAGTAGAGATAAACTTTGATGTCTATCAGGCCTTCTTACAGGTCACTGTCATTTGAATCATCATTTGTAGAGACTCGGACTGTCGGAAGACAGTGTGTGTCGCCTCTGTTTGGAAAATGATGAAACAGCAGAGCACATACTTTGTGCCTGCCCCGCTGGGCACCGAATCAGGTTCTTAGAGTTCGGCAGAGCCGTACTTTTACCATCTGACCTGAAAGACCACTCACTATAAAAACTAATCGGCTTCGTTATGAAGTTGGGCTTATTTGGTCGAGTGTGAATATGTGTGAAACACAATAAACCCTTGCGGGTTGCGGTGGAGGATCGCACCCAAACTAACCTAATACTAAAACGATTTTGAAACGATATTTTTGTATTCCGAGTCCGAAACAAATGAATGTCATCACTGATGCCAGATGTACACAAACTCTGAAATCACTTTCATTAAAGAATCATATAAATGCACATGAGGAGAAGTAAAGCACATTTATTATTTTTTATTTATATTACGAATATGTAGAATATTTATTTTGTTTCCAATAAATATCATTAATGTTAAAATTCTCCGAATGCACAATATTGTTGTATAGCTAGAGGCAAATTTCAAAAATGAATGTAAAAAAATCCATTGCTTAAAAAGTGTGTTAACTAATTTGAAATTTATGAGAAGAAAAGAAATGAATGGAATATTGAAAATTCCAAGATCGAAGTATTTGGAAAATAAATGAACGAGTTCAAAATTTAAAAAGATAAACATTACCTTTCTTCCCAATGACTGAAGACAAATCACTACGGAATTCAAATTTTGCCTCTCCCATAGATCTACTGTTTGGAATGTTTCTTGTGGAGGAACTCCTAGTTCTTTTGCTGCTTCAAGGAAAGCATTGATGTTTTCCATGCATTTGAATGCCATTGTGGAAGTGTTGACTTTCTTCACAATACCTGGTTTGATAGTATTGACCAACCTAAAAAAAAAAATAATGTGAACGAACATACGAAAAATACTTTCATTTGACTGAGTTGTTGCTTTTTCTTGAGTGAATATTAATAATAATATAAATTAAAGGAAGTGTCTGTTGATTCAGGAACTATAAAAGCAAACAATAGAAAAGTCAACCAGTGTCATCGGCATATTCATCATCATAAAACATTTCAGGCAGTAATTGTAGGTGATGTAGCTGACTGTTTCATTTAATGCAGCCTAGTCGTTTTCCATTAGACTTTTATTGGTCTTGCATAACGCTATAACCGGTTTGGAATGGATTTAACAATTCGATGCAGTTTTTATTTAAATCAAAGTAGATGCAAGTTGGTGTGAATAAAAAATCGAGCAACGAGCATAAAATAAATATAAACATAAGTGGAAATTACAAATCTACATTATCTTATGCATGTTTATATGTATAAATATGTTTAACTAACAAGAAACATCTGTACAGATATGGAATTAATCCTTCTTATGGTGAAAGATTTCACGGGATGATGAAATATCTTACTAAAATATTGATCAATGACAATAATAATGTTTACTATTTTTGTGTTTAACAATAACTGTCACAACTTTTATTATTTATGAACCTTTGTTCAACACGAAGATCTCATTAGATAACAAAAGTGGAAACTATTGAGGAAAGATACATACGTATAAGGAAATAAATATTTCGAAATACATTTCGCAATATTAATCTCTCCCAACTACCTACACAGTAGGGTGTGGTAGATGTCTGTCGAAAAACAACTACTTTCCCAACTAATGCCACTCGGGATATTGAATTATATCCAACAATCCTTATCTGAATAGATTCTAAGAAGATGTCTGTTCTGTTTGAAGTAGGTTAGTTTGGTGCAGCGATCGATCTAGGGGGTGGGGGCAAACCGGGCAATTGCCCGGGGCTGCAAAAATGAGGGGCGGCAAAATTGAGGGCGACGCGGCGTCGACGGCGAAAATTTGAAAGGTGGTTAAACAAAAAAAACACACCCTACACAAAAAGTTGTTAGAATGTAATTTATTACTATTGACATCACTGAAATTTCACATCATATTTTAGTAGATTACAAAAATTACACCATATATGGAATAACGCATGGGTAAAAGGCGGCAAATATTATTTTGCCCGGAGCGGCGCAATAGCTGGATCGGGCGTTGGTTTGGTGGAAACAGTGTTGCAAGTATTCTAACCTGATAATATGTTGTTTCTGAAATTTTATCCGTTTCAATGTCATATGTCTTTGTAGCTTAATATCCCAATAAATATGTATATGCTGTGTCGTAGTATGTTCTGATCGATAAAGAATTTTGTACTGATGCTGTTCATTTTTTACATATTTTAATTTTTTGTCCCTTTTCAGCCTATTACTACAATGCCTAGTTTGTATATCTACCAAGCTCTGATATATATAAAAAACAATATTTCAATTATTTTTAGAAATGAGGAAATCCATGAACATTTCACCAGAAATAACTCTCAACTACATCAACCTCAAAGAAGATTGACAGTATCAAAGAATCACCCCATGTGTTAAGCTATATAATAAGCTCAGTGAGGACATTAAATCCCCAAATATCAATGTCTTTAAAAGGCGACTCAAGATTTTTCTATTGCAACAAGCATACTACTCTGATGTGGATGAGTTTCTCCTTGAATCCTCATTTGATTGTAGCTTATTATTTTTTTGTATGTTTTATATTGACTTTTTATGTTTGTTTGACCTGTAGAATCAGCCAGTATTTTATGATGATGTTATGTTTTTTGTCTAATGTGATTGTGAAGGAAAACTGATTCAATAAACATTTAATTTATTGATATGATGTTAGGCGATTTTGTAAACTGAACTACAATTGGATAAAAATATAACCTGACTCCTACGTATATAGCTTGAAACTTATACTCGATTGCAACTTTGAAAATTGCCCTACTACATATGATCCAAGAATAAATATTACTATCATTATTAAACAGTACAGATGAGATGAATGGATAACATGTATTTTTGAAACATCGAATATATATGGAATACCGGATTTCAACTTGTCCCAAAAACACAATTAAAAGCAGGAAGTTTGACAAACAAGTCGTCATCTCGCAATTAACACACCATCTGTTACGAAGCCATTTGGAGTGTAATGTGATGGCTCTTCTGAAATTTCATTTGATAATCACAAAAGTGGCACTCGAAACCAAATAATCGAGGTTGGGAAAACCCGCAATGTAAACTGTGCCATCTGTTAACGCTACACTAATGAAAATATGCTGATGAGTGGTCCTAATTTTCTCCATACATTGGCAAAGAGAAGTTGATTCTGGACTTCAATCCCTTATATAGATCTAAAACTGACACATGAGTCATTCCCAAATCACCTTTATATTTTGGTACTCGCTAATATGTGTTCATTTGATTTTGTTACATTCTGTTACATAGAAAAATAATCACATACTTAAAAACTTTTAAAAGGATTGTACGAGAAAAAACTGAAGAACTTCTCCATTCAGATACGACTCAGAATATTCACGAAGTAGGTAGTTTATGGGTAGGTAGGTAGGTTTAAAGTGAGTGGGTCTATTGGACCCTCCACTGCAACCCACAAGGGTTTATTGCCACTTTGAATACAGTCGCATAAGTTCCTAGGCAGGTAGATAACTCTGTCCTGGGTCTGCGACTAAAAACATCTGCACCAGAACCGGAAAGTGTTTTTGATCCATCTGCTCTTAATATTTCCTTCTCCCGGAGAATCCAGTCCTCTCTACTCGGGAATAGTACTTTATAATGCAGTTCGTAGTTGACAGTGGGAGGCATAAGGTCAGAGGTCCTTTCCAGAATCGATTTGTGCAATTGGCAATGTGCACAAGTCTGTATGCAGTCCATCTAGCCTCTCTCTCCAGAAAAATGTGAAGAGGAGGTAGATCTAGAAGGATCTCCATGGCCGCTGACGGTGTGGTACTGATGGCACCATTGATAGCCAGAGAAGCCTGTCTCTGTAAGCCAGAGAGCTTCGCTTGGGCCGTTTTCTGTAAAGCCTTCGGCCACCAAGCAATTGCACCATAAGTAATCATTGGCCTGACAATCATCACATAAATCCAATGGATTTGTTTGGGATCTAAACGCCAAGTTTTACCATAAATCCTTCGACATGTCCATATAGACTGTCTGGCTTTGTGTAAAACTTTTTCCAAGTGAGCGTTCCAGGTGAGTCTTTTATCATGGACAATGCCAAGATATTTCACCTCCGTTCCAAATGGAATGACCACACCATTGAGGGAAAGTGGCGTAAGATCGTCCAATTTTCTCCTCGTGGTGAAGGGGATCAACACAGTTTGGCTGGGGTTGAGAGACATCTGCTCCCTCAGGCACCAACTGTCCAACGCGCTTTGGAGGATATTACCAGCTACCCTTCCCGACGTGGACCTTGCCAGGATGACTAGGTCATCTGCATAAGCTTGCAGATCGACTTTTTTTCTGTCGAGGGCATCAAGCAGACTATCCACCAGGAGCGACCACAGAAGGGGAGATAGTATCCCACCTTGAGGGCAGCCTCTGGTGACCCTGAACCTGATAGCCTTGCCTTGAAGAATCGTAGTTGCAGTTCTGTTTACTAACATGGCATAGATCCAACCAGTTATGGTCGATTCTATACCTTTCCTAGCCAGAGATGATCCTATAGATTGTCATATGCTCCTTCAATATAAAAAATACAGAAACCGCAATCTCCTGCTTGTCAAAGGATTGGGAGATTTTCTCAACGAGGTTGTTTAATGCTGAATCTGTCGATTTGTCGGATTGATGAGCATACTGATGGTTATTCAGGGGGGATGCATATAACGCTACCCTCCTGATATGTCCGTCCAGTATCCTCTCAAGTCCTTTCAGCAGGAAGGATACCGATTTGGGGTGTGGGTCTCTCCAGCCCACTTTGGGTTGCTGCCAACCAACTGGGTGGTATATAGTTTCACGCCAGTTTTTATGTACACATTAGTAGATGGGACCAGAATGTTGAAATGGGAGTGTTGAAAAGATTGGACAAAACGCACGAACTTCATGAGAAATCAACTCAACTTTTCCTTATCTCTGGCTGATTCTATTTTAAAACATGTATGTGATTAACCACTTTTTGGTTCTAGCTGACGGACTGATGAAGTTCATAGTTCATAGATAATTCTATACGTTTCAAAAACATAAAAATTATAATATTAACGATTTGACAAGTGAATAAATAGAACAGAAACGATTTTGGCCATTTGTTACGTTATTACGTACCACTGTTTTTCTAATACGAATTTCCATTCATATCTTCTTCGATAGCTATAAAATATGAATTGATGGATGTATCCGTTACTACGTGGTAGAAGATCATAATGCAGAAAAGATAACTGAAAACTTTCAATGTTTTTTACCACCTTAGTAGTTTCATTTCTCATTTTTCACAATGAAATATAAATAACTTATTGTTACGCCGACAGCAACCTATCGTGACGTCACGTCGAAACGTGTACCAAGTTTTTGATACAAATATCGCGAAGATACCGAAGCGTTCGAATGTGGTATATATTGTGGATGTTTTGGAGATCAAATTTAGTTCAAACGCTTCAGCATATTATAACTGTTAAGATTTAACGTTTCGTTGTAAAATAAGTAAGTATATCAGTTTTTTTGTGAAAACACGTAGTAATTCAACTTTCACTGGTATTCGGATTCCCAAAGTTTCATTTTAGATTTTATTCGAGATGTTTTTTGTATCTAGGCTTAGGCTCTTTGATTCCATGAGATCTTTCAGAAATGCTTTTTTGCATTCATTATCTCATGATACAAAATTTTTTTTTCGTAATCTAATCCATCACCGATAAGAAATTTCAATTCACTTGTCTCTCTCTTATGTTTTATTATTATCTATTAATAACTGAAAGGTATTGTTGCTATGTAACATTTCCATTACTCATCATGCTCATCTATACTGATCATTACCATCTCT